ATAGTGCTCGCCGTTGACAGTGATGGCCTGGCCATCTCCTCGTAAACTAGCTGTGAGGGGAAGCTTTTACTTCAGGGCACTCAACCCGAGAGGGGGCATGGGGGGTAATGGCCTGGCCTTGGATCTTATGTGAATTGGTATCGTCCCAAACTCCTGCACATAGCTCCACATATAGCAGCGACGTTTTCGGCAGATCTTGCGTTTCGTCAACGTTCGGGTGTTGGTTAATCATTTACTGAACCAGTGGAATAAAATTGCTAATAGACTTCTCGGTAGAAAGATTATGGTGACCGTAAAATGGGCAAAAGCGTGCGGTACTTTGCCCCAACAGAACTCTTTATTGATAAAACAATTTTATTATTTGCACGTGTTGTTGAATGCTATATCCGTCTATGGTGATTTGACAAAACAGATTGAGTAAATGACCACTAATTTGAAAGGTGTAGTATCAATTAGATAGTCGTTATCAATTGTCATTGTTCGGAAGACCCTATTTCTGTCACGAAATTCAATAATCCCTATAAACTTCACCATTATCGTCCTCTACGTATGTTTCCAACAATATACAAAGTTATGGAGCAAAATTTTAAACAATTAAGTGGTTGGAGAAAACAAAATCCGGGCTGGCAGGCCGTGATCGAATGGAGTTTGTAGTACCGAACGATTCGTCTGCTACTGCGGGAAACATCATCAATGATATGTGTTTCATCCGTGAAAACTTAGATGCTTATTTAGATTGAGAAAATGCCTTCGTCATCCAATGACCATCTGCTACTGTTGATATATTTCAATGTTTCTATTAGAATCCTCTATCTCTCACATTTTAGGGCGCCATAATCGTTTTACCGAGAGAAATATTCGCAATATGGTGGACAAATTTGAGTCCACTGGTTCAGAAAACGTTCGACCAACAGCCGTAGGTACGTCGACGAAAGGCAAGATCTGCCGTAAACATCGCCACTGTCCTGTGAGAGTGTTCGGGAGAATCCGAAGCAGTCGATTTCGCGTCGTTCACAAGAACTCGGCCCTTCGTAGACCACAACTTGGCGAATTTTGCGTCGTGACTTGGACCTGCACCCGTACAAAATGCAACTAACCCAGAAACAGACCTCCAAAAAGTAGAGCCATCAAGAAGATGAAGGAGAAGTTTTTTTTTCATCTCCTAAAGACGCCCACTTGGTTAAACGCGCTTCGAAAAGAGTATTGCATGCTTGATTAGAAAAAGTGCTCGTTTTGAAGGCGATAGAATATCTAAAAAATATTTCATATAAACACTGTTCAAAAAATAAGGTAAACTTTCTTTTTTCTCAAAATATATTTATTTATTGATCGATTTCTAGTTTGTCTCCGTCAATGTAGTCCCCCTCAGATATAATACACTTGTGCCAGCGTTTTTTTTTTAATCCTCGAAGCAGTTCTGATATGCATTTTTTGGTATGTCCTTGAACTCTCTCAGCGATTCGGCTTTCATCTCCCAAATCGTCACAAAACACCGTCCTTTCACAGGTCTCTTTAATCTTGAGGACAGGAAAAAGTCGCAGGGGGACAAATCTGGTTAATACGGTGGTTGAAGCGTTATCATGTTTTTTGGCCGAAAAATTACGAACAAGCAATGATCAGTGACCAGGTGCATTATCGTGATACAAACGCCATGAATTGTTATTCCACAGTTTTGGACGTTTTCTTCGTTTTGCTTCTCGCAGGTAATGCATACCCTGTATTGTTTGATTTGTCCAATGAATTATATGATGTGAAAGTAAAAACAAATGCTTGGCAGGAGATAACAGAAAAAATGGAAACAACTGGTAAGAATTAAATTATATAAGTAGTACTTGCACTGATTGAAACCTTTGGTATAGTAATGAATATTACTGGAGTTTAGTCCCAACACCAAACCGTTATTTTTAACACCTGGACACCTGTTTCATTCACCAAGTTACCATCTTCAAGAGGAAGATTAAACTAAATTACACACAATATTATTCTTATTTATACCATAGATACCTCTTCTATACATTAATTCAGAGCAGTATTAGGAAGGATACAATTTTATATTTTCAATAATGTATAATAAAATATTAATGTGGGGATAGGGATTAATATACCTGAAATAGATTATTCATTTTCAGTCTGATTAGGTGATATTACAAATATATGTGATCCAGAAGTAATTGCAATACATAAAGGAATGTTGATATTTTGAAAACTTCATATTCATAGACTCCAAATGTGCATTGGAAAGATTTGAAAGCTGTGTAACGAGTTACTATATTACTTTAAAAATGAAAAAGATAATAAGTTCATCGGCTTATAAAAATAGTACTTTTAAATTTGTTCAGATACCAGGACATGCCAACATAGAAAGTAGCCAGAAAGCAGATACTTAAGTGAAAATTGACCCTTCTCTGAATGGTTGAAACAAAACTCTATACAAATATAGTTCATGATCAATGGCAAGAAGAGTGATAAAACATATAGGATCAATTCAGATACCTTGCCTCCAGAAAAGTGGACATTGTATGGATTCAGCAGCACTTATTCCGGATAGGGGCGAACCAGAAACAAAAACTAACATTTTTTTTGAATGTCTTATCAATACTATCCCTGAGTACGACATTTATCAACAAAAAGTATCTAAAGGAATTCCAGTTTCTCTGGACACATGTACAATACTAAGATGTCTCAACGTGAAAATAATAAAACTATTTATCAAATTTATAATATCCTACTAAACTAGAAAAAACAGATTGTGCTTATTTTATTAGTTTTATGCTATTTGTCTGGAACTGTAATTTCCTTAGCACACTGAAGAAAGAAGCACAAGACTACAAAAGCACCGAAACATGCACATGGATACAAGATTGCACAATGGAAGTTATCCCTTAACTCCTGCGAAGATTTTGTTCACATAACGCTCAGTTTCGTATCGGGAGGAGCAACAGTCAATCGTGCTTGAACAGAAAGCAACGACCATCCAACGATAGAAAGAGAGGACTGGTCTAACCCTGAGCACACCTTAAAAAAGTGTTAGAACATCTCAACCTGAGCAGGAGGACACTTTAGCATCAAAAGGACCCCGGCACAAGTTCAAAGAAATATTAATGGGTCAGGTGTCACCTTGACGTGGAGGAATTATGTAAATGGTGCGACATTGGCTCTTCAAAGAAAGGCCCAACAACCAGGAGCCAACTATATCTGTATGGAACCAGTTTCAAGATGGTCGCAGTGGATATACTTGAACCTTAGCATGTGACTGACAAAAGCAACAAATACACGCCGACAAAAATCAAATATAGAAACACAGTCCAGGAATCAACTAGCTTTTCTTGATCTTCTGGAAGAAGAGTGAGACGTTTTCAAAACCTACTCTGTTTTGCACAACATAACGAGAATACGGATTACCAGAGACCAAATGGAGAAGCAGTTAGACAAGAAAGCTATATGTGCAGAGTTCAATCAAGGAGATACTGTGTAGCTATACGAACCCCAGACGAAAAGGAGCAATACGTCCAAGTAACAGAGGAGATGGAAAGACCCCTACTTGATGTCCAAGAAGATAAATGACTTGGTCTATCATATTCAGTCAACCCAACGGAGTCAACTTCTGAGAACCAGGAAAGAATGACCCCCTACAATGGTAATGGTTCTCAGAGTCAGTGTTGTTCCTGCTAGATTAAAAAGTGTAATCGATTATGCCAAAAAAAAACTTTCAATAGAAAATTTTTACTTTCAGAAAAGTCACTCACAAAGCGGAGCATTTCACGCTGAAAGATTGCTAACACTGCTGATTTATCTTCAAAAGTGTTAGTTGGCATATCAAAACTAACAGGAGACGTGTTAAAATGGTCTTCAATCGTCGGTTATGATGCGTTAACTCTCAGTTTTGATACGATATTTGTCAGTTTTGATACGTCAATTGTCAGTTTCTGTGTGTGATCTGACAGTTGAAAGTTTCTCAAAATGTAATAATAGGGATAAAAATGTAACATTTTGTCACTAAAGTAATGCTAGGAACAACATTGTTCTAGATGGATTCATCAGAATCAAGTAGACTAGTTATTCTAGACAGGACGCCACACTGTGAATCAAATCAGTATTGAAATACCCAAAATGAATGAATGAATGCCATCGAATAATCTCCATTTTTGATTTAAAAGAACATCATTCGAATGGGGTATAAATTAAGCTCCGCATGGAAATCGGGTGGTTAGAATTAGAACAGATTAGTTTCGATGAGCGACAATGAAATATAGGCGTACACCTATACCGTTTGTTGCTAAGTCGACTTTGGCATATGACTTTCATTCTCGCAGTACACGTACATGTACAACCGGGCCAAACCATCACAGCAGAATTCAATTGTGAGGAAATCGATAAAATGAACCGAAAATTGCGTCAGTAACAGCCAGCACTGATATCAATAGAAGAGGTCCGATCCTGCTCCACGACAACGCCCGTCCGCACGTTTCACAAATCACCGTCCAAAAATCAAGCGAATTGATCATCAAAGTTTTGCCTCACTCACTCACCCCCAGACTTCCCGCCAACCGATTGCCATCTTTTCAAGCACTTCGATAATTTTCTCGCCGGTAGAACCTTCGCCAATTAGGACCAAGCAAAAACGGCCTTCGTCGACTTCATCGAATTCCGAGTACCCAATATTTATGACTTGTGTTACGATTGCAAAAGTTCACTGATACAAATGACGCTTACTTCGATTAAATTGAATAAGTATTCACTGAACTATTACAATTTACATAAAAACAGACAAAACTATTGTAACAACCTAATATTTTGACGTATCCCAGATCTATATCATCCTTTGGACATTGAAGCTGCTACTACTACTACAGAACTATCTGACAATTGGCATGCTACGTGTTAATAGTGAAGAAGAAAGCCAAAATATGATTTTTACAAACATTTTCTCCACAAAATAATTTCAAAACAATAATTTTAAATATCCAAGTGAATTGTATTCCAACTTTAAAAACTGTAGCCTTTGTTTGAATTATATATTGTTTTATAGATCAATAACACTCTGAATGTCTGAAAATAATTACTATTTATTCATCATTTTCTGAATAGGCAGAGTTATTGTCAGAATCTTCATCATTGGTTGTCTGACCTAATTCTCGCAATTTATTTTTAAATGTATTCAGTTTCGTATCTTGGTCTGTTAACAATTCAAGTAAATCATCCTGGTCTTTCCTGATTTTGTCCAACTCAGCATCTTTCTCTAAATTCTCCGCTTCCAATGCTTTGATTTTATTCAGCAAATCTGTATACTCGCTACTATCAGGGACAGAATGGGTTAGATTGGATTTGACTTGATCTTGTTCCAACTGTGGTACCATATTTACAGAATTTGTTGAACTAATAGCAAGTTGAGCTTTCAGAAGAGTATTCTGATCTGCCGATTGCCTGTTGGTTTCTTCCAATTCTTGAATTCGTTCCTAAAAAAGGATTTCACATTTGAAAAAATCAAATACTAACGTGCATTATCAGGAATAATAGAAAAATTAAATTATTGGAATGAATAATTACCTCAATAGAGTTGAATACGATATAATAATTTTATGAACCAGAAATGAAAAGACAAATACATAAAAACTGGAAAAAAAATTGTTGTTTATTTCTAAAGTGACTAAACTTAGGTGGCCACGGGGTTACAGTTGACCCCCAATACCGGTATTGTTGATAATAGTAATAATTTATTAAGCCGCTGTTTTATAATATGTACATATGATACCTCAAGTACAGGTGTACAGCATACAATGCTCCGACTGTAACAAATTCTATATCGGCCAAACCCAAAAAAAACTAATCCAATGGTACAAAGAGCACAAAAAGCCATACATAAACCCAATAATATATAAATCAAACCTCGCAACACACGCACTACAAAACAAACATAACTTTCCCCCACCAGAGAACACAAAACTCGTAAAACAAGTCATTGAAGGAAACCGTATGGACATCTGGAAAAACTTCCACATCTGGAAAAACATCCATAAATTTAAAAGTCATAATTCACTTATCGAGAAACAATTAC